GCGTTCCCCACCCGCCGCCCCCGGCCGGTCCCCCGCCTTCCGAGCGTGTCTTCGCTCACCGCAGAGCCTGGGTGCCGAGCCTTTTCTTCCGCATTGTGAATCTCGAAATGAACTGGAAGCTTCTAGAGCCTGGCTGCCGCCGCTCGTCCAGCGCGCAGGCGGACTGTTGTTAGCGACCGGAGTCGCTCCGTGGGCAGATGGCTCTGCCTCTTCTTAACCTGCTCTCCTGGGGCTCAGTTCCCGAGCTCGCTGTGGAAGGTGGAAACGTCCTTTTTGCATTTAAGAGGAACTCTAGACCGCGTTCTAATTTTTTTTTAAATTTATTTTGCGCAGTTTATTTAGAGGAGAGAGAATAAAAATTGCCGACTTATGTGCCAGACCTCTTCGAGGGAGTGGGTGTTGTAACTGAATCATGTTGTGTTCGACCGCGGGTGGGTGGGCAAGGGGTAACGTTGTAAAAAGCAGCCTTTTCGGCGGGATTGTTTTCCGAGGGTAATGTATGCAAACATACGTGCATGTGCTTGGGTGAAAATAGCTGATGATTTCTCAGGGAAATTAACGTAGGTGTTTATTTTTAAATGCCGGAATCCCAAGATAAAGAGCATAGAATGAAACATTTGAGCCCAAAGGTAAAACGACTGGGCTTGTGTCAAAAAAATGACTATTTGAGTGAAAATGAACGTTATGAAAGTGAGTGGAAAAATCAGAAAATAAGCAAACGTTTGGCAGCACTAGGAGCATTGGGAAGACTCATTTTATTCCCTGAGCACTCTGCCTACTGTGGATCTGCAGCCTGCTTCCAGCCCTGCAAAGGGTTCTGTAATTGGAATAAAGTGGGAAAGGAGATGGTGTCTCAGGCTTCGGTGCCAGGGTGCACTTTACATCTTTGTTCCTTTTGATCCAATAAAAGAAAGAAAAGCCGATCTTCAGAGGGTAGGAGACGTGGGTGGCTGCGGTGACCTGGAGGCGGCCTGGCCTGCCTCTGAAAACTGCAAACCGGGGCTGGGCTAGAGTGCCCTGTGGTGTTTCGGATGAAACAACGGTCACTGCAATTGCACTGGCTACTGTTAATTTCTGTGTGATAGATTAATTTGGTTCTCTCCTCGGGAAGTGAGTAGATTGTTTCTGCAAGCGCACAGTTACTCTGGGCCCCGGCAATACTCTGGGGAGGGACCCTAAAGGCCCGGTGTTTGCTCACACGTTACCTCTCTGGCTTTTGGGACGCCGCCCCACACTTGCCCAGACAATCTGGGTCTAGGGCGTCTGTGTTAGAGCAAACTGAAACCTGACTCAGCCTGGCTCTTAGTGCCTGCAGTACCTTCCCGTTCTGTTCATCTCCTTCACCACGCTGCTGCCTGCCCGCCAGTCTAAGACCCAGTCCACCTCTCCTCCCTCTCGTGCTGCCTTGCATTGCCGCAGGGCTGTCTCGCGGTTACGAGTCCCCAGAGTCACTGTGGGGCTCTACGAGGCTGACTCAGTGCCAGTGTTCACGCCTTTCCCTCAGCGGGCATACTCAGTTCTGCTCTGGTTTTCCTCTGCATCATTCTTCCTTGGCTGTCCGAAGTGCAGTCTTCCTCATTCCTGCGTTTAAACCCCAGGAGCGCAGCTTAGGCCCACTCGTGTGGGTTCATGGAAAAACTTTGGATCCTGAAAAGGCAGACGGTATACCAGGACAGCAGGAGGAAGGCCGGCGGTGTTTAGATTTGTGGAGTTGGTGACTGGGTAGGGTCACACCCTACCTTTTGTTAATCATGTGTCTAGGGCCAGGTTAATGATATATTAAAAGCATTTTCAGAGTTAATGCTCACTTCCAAATAATTGGGGACCTGGAGAATTATACTGGTACTCGAGATATCGGAAAATGTCCCCTGAGCTGTGAGCAGACTTGGGGGAGAGGATAGGACTTCCCCCCCGCCCCATTGGATTCTCAGAGTAGCAGTTAAGTGACTCTCTCTGAGTATTTGACCAAAGCTTTAGACTCCAGAACTCTGCTGCACTTGGCCCTCCCCACCCCACACTGTGAGTAGGAGATTTATATTAGATTTTTTTCTCTTGTCAGTTAACAATGTCTGCGTTTATGCTTTTTAACTTTTCTTGGAACGTGTTTTGTATATCTTCTAGGTCAGTCATATCATTTGGATCAAAAAACAGAACAATTGGAGTTGCAGCCAAAAATCAGGTATGTTCTTTAGGAGAATTCTGGTCAATTTTTTAGGAGGAAGTTTTAAAAGTAAAATTTCAAGGACATACAGGAGTGTGAAATACTAAGTCCATCTATTTTTTAGGTTTGGTTATGTGATGCAGGTATTTTTTAGCCTTTTAGATGGCTTTTTCCTTCTGTTCTTCTTGTTTTATTGCAGATCTACTTTAACTTTCTAATCTGCCAACCTTAATTTTTAGTGACTTCACCATCTTCTAATTTATGTAATTTATGTGACTTTGCATGGCACTCATTTAAGAGTTAAAGATTCCTTCTAGAAGTTCTGTGTTTATAAACGTTTTCAGGTTACTTAACTAAAGCAGAGCGAGGAGAACTTTTTGTCTAGTGTCTGTGTGGTAGCCGTTAGCTACCTGTGGCTGTTGAGCACTTGAGAAACATGCCTCCTCTGAATTGAAATGTGAAGTGTGAAATATACATGAGGTTTTGAACATTTAAATGAAATAAAGTATCTCATCAATATTTCATATTGAGTACATGCTGAAATGATAGTATTTTAGATATAGGCTAAATAAGCTATTGAAATGAATTTCACCTGTTACTACTTAATGTGACCAGAACATTTATGTACGTAGCTCCCGTTTAGGGCTCACATTTATAGTTCTGTTGAACCCTTGGGGTTGAGGGGGGAAAAAATAGAAATCTCTTTTGAGATGCTTTTTAAATAAAAAGACTGCAAAAATGCTTTTAAGTAGAGGAAATAGCATTGCTAAAAAAAGAAAACTAAAGCGTGGAGTATTGTATTATGGCTAGCTGGAAGAGATACAAGACAAAAAAAGAGGAAAGAACTAGGTATGTGCACTCAAAATGACAGACTCAAGGAGAGAGACACTTTAGTGCAGTCAGTCTCCCTGGATGTGGCTATTTGCAATGTTGGCATCCCAGGCCTTTGATTCCGTTGCGTTTTCGTGGTTAGGTGAGGATAACTCTAGCCCGTAGATTGCTAGACAGTCTTCATCTCAGTTTTAGAATCACAAGGAATTTTAGTTTGCAAACACGCTTAAATTCCATACTATTTGAAAACGGTACTGCTAAGCTGTATTCTTCCCTTTAAAAGAAGTAGGTCAGAGAAAAAAGTAAATGGTGACCTGTTATTTTAAAACTTATAACTTTAGAAGTCTTTGTTTTCAATCTTTTATTTTAATAGTTTCTGTATTTTAAATAAGATTCTCACTGCTGACGTGTTTGAGTGAAATTATGCTATCAAGTGGGGCTTTTTAGTTCAGAGCCTAATCATCAAAAATAGATACATGCAGTTGAAAGTATTGAGTCATTTTGAAATGTTTGAATTATCCTTGTCTCTTCTGCTTTTTGGTATAATTAGCATACCTGCTATTGGTAAGAAAGGTAGCAATCAGTGTATTTGTGGTCAGGTTCATCGTGACCACTTAACAGTTTTTTAGGCTTTAGCAATTAACTTCTTTAAAAAATATAATTTGACAGTAGTGTTTTTAGATCACTTACTTGTTTCATTTAATGGGTACAAAACTTACAAGTTTAGTGGAGAAAAAGGAATGAAAGGTAAGTGATGCAGTTCTTTCGTGATGGTTTCACTGTCTTCGAGCTTACCTTGCAGCCTTTGAAATCTTTTCAAGTCTGATAACAGTATCGCCTCTTGTTCCTGCTCACTGCCTGCTTTCTGGGATTTCTGTAGGG